CTTTGAAAATAGAGGTTCACTGCATATTGCTTACTCTTCTAACTTCAGGAAGCCATTGCAGAGATGATTGTACTTCAGGATAAAATATCCATTTAAAACCTCTCACCCAAGCTTCTAAACATTCTTTCAATTCTTTGAAATACAAAACCATATTGAAAGATAGTCTGGCAATTAATCCATCAGTATTAGAAATATGTCAAACAGCTGAAGCATTCTGCCATCTTACTCTTGGGTCAGAGAGTAGAGACAGCCCCTGTGGTAGCCTGCTTGGAGAGCAAATGAGTTGAATGCAGAGTTTTTGGTGGAGTAGTTTGTGGAAAAGGTGCAGCATCTTGCAAAGGTACAGGCTCTGTTTTCATAGCAGTGGTACCACAACTGAATGCCAGTGCTGACTGAACGCTGACACTGAGGTGGTGGGAGGCTGATCGGCAAGACAGGGCCTCTTACTGCTATAGGCCAAAATAGTCTTAAAAGAAATCTAAAAAGCAGGTGGCAGCTAATGCAAATGTCAGAGCATCAGCTTATCGAATGTATGATGGGAAACTTCACAGCAAGGGGCCCTTTGCTTGCAGACCAGCTCAGCCTCCGGACGGACTGCAGCTGAGGTGTTGGTTTTCAGGAGCCCTGTGCTGTGGCAGCAGTCTGGAGGTTTGTGTGTGAATGGAGCAAGTACACCTCATCCACAGAGTTGAAAACAAGGTAGCATGACCTTGACAACCTGGTAATCTAGCTGAGCATCCACAACAGCCATGGTTTCTCTGTCACAGGGGCTGCATCTGCTGTCACTAACCAGGCAACAGCATCTCTGTCCTATCTTGATTCCTACCAGCCTTCCTCCTCTCCTTCTACTTGTGGGAGTTGTTCTCAGGCCCCTTCTGTGCCCTGCAGTGCTCACTGCATCCGTGGAGGTGAAGGTGCACACTGTTCTGGTCAGTGAGGGTAGTCTTCATGTGTCCTTTCTCTCCTTGAGAGCCTCTTACAAAGAGATGCAAGGGGAGTTCTGACATATCTGTAGAGCAGTTAGAAAGAGAAGTGGTTACAGTCAGCACACTGGAGAACTGTAGGCACTGTTTTGCAGACCCAACCTCTGTGTGAGGTGAGACTTACAGGAGTAGTGTAAACAGGGAAAGACAAGATGTACATTCAAGCATTGCACAGCAAGTGGAAGTCTCTCCAGTGGTTTTTAACCTTTTCTGTTAGTATAAATATTTCATTTCCTTGCAGTGTCAGATGTCTTCAAGAACTAGTATATGTGGTGCTCAAACTGAAAAATTCGCTTGCTTTTATTCTGATATTAACAGGACCTACACTGAGATGTAATTGTGGTAGGGACTGGATAATGGCAATAATGGTTAGCATATTAATTGCTTTAACTCTCTTAAGCATTTTGTGACTGCCTGATGTAAAAAACCTGTTGTCTTGACTAAAGAAAGGGGTTTCTTTACGTACGAGCTAATTCTTTTCAAATACTAGCCTACCTGAGGCTGCACTATCATCCGAGATAGGTTTTGAAATTAGAAGTTCCTGGCTGTTTTTATTTTCCCATCATAAGATGCTGTCCATGGAGGTGCTCAGCCATAGCGAGCTGTGCTCACAATGATCTTATAGTAGATGCCAGAGGCATTCTTAGCATAAATGAAAATCCTGCTTGTTTCAGCTGGTTAACTTACCCTTTTGATACAGCAGTCCAGCTTTCCTTTGTTGGTAGAATGGTTTCAACCAATACTACGTTAGATTTTCATGGGATGTCCAGTCCCATAAAGCCTCTACCTGGAAAGAGCTTGGTGCTGCTGTGCTCCTCTTCCCATCCCATCACATTGCGGGTTGGTAGCACCACTCACCTTCTCCGTGTCATATTCAGCCACAATCAAGTCTGAAGCATTTTATGTGCATGAGATTGCTGAGGTGCAGGTCAGACAGTGCCTGGAGAGAGACTGTTGCATGGCTTCTTGCGCTCGTGTCGTCACTGAAGTCCGAGGGCTCTGTAACCACGTACTAGCGCCAGGGTTAGGTATTCCAAAGACAGAGGGAACAAAATTTGAGGTTTACTAAAAGTCACTACTCAGAATGACTACACAAGAATAAGACATGCATTCTTATATTAATGATGTTATTATGTTATTATTCAAATATCTTCGATTGTTAGGAGTGATGAAAGCATAAACCAAAAAAAAGACGATACAGCTTTATATCTGAAATTCCAGATACAGAATGAACTTAATAAAGTTTGTAAAATTTGGAAGATCAAATTGTTGGAAAAAAACCCCAAACCATCATCACCTTAGACTCTACTTCTGATCTGTGATCAGAAGGTTTTGTGCAGTCTTGTAATGGGCATAGCACGCTGTTCTGTCAGACCAAGACAGAATATGAGAGAAAGGGACCAAAACTTCTGCAAATATTTACACAACTTGTTGAATATTGAGGTGTAGGAGTACCCAATATTGGCCTGTCCTTTAAAGGACACTATTTTTTAAAAATGTTTAATCAAGAGTCGGTTGAGGTGAACTCTTGTGTACTTATTTTAATACACTAATACTGCTCTTACCCTGAGGCTGCAACAAGGACCTGTTATGTGCTTAATTAAAAATAATTCTTCAATATGCACATATGTAGTCCCAATTATATATGGAAGCACATGAACTCCAAATAGTTGTGAACAAATGCAAGATCAGGGCCACTGAGGGCAATTTGTCCACAGGACCAGAATATGGTCTTAGTTATATTCTGGGGATTTTTTTTATTATTCAGCAATGGATTGTAGAACAATATCATTGGCTTTGGAAACAATTCCACACTGTCACAGTGGAATATTTCAGCTTTTGTTATTGTCTATCAATTAGCCATACTCACTACTCCTTAATATCTCTTTCAATTTTTTATGATTTATATACTTTCTCTCAAAATAGACAGTATAATCAAACCTGGTAATCAACAAGTTGAGTACCAGAACAATCCTTTTATCTGTCTTTCTCTGTTCTGGCATTTAAGAAATCACAAAAGTCACGCTTTGGACATCCTTATTTTCCCCCACATTCCAATATACTCAAAATAATGAATCTGAAGGCACTAAGGACCATTTGCACCAAAGAAATGTTTGTTCTGAAAAGGAGACTTAGTACATGGAAGCTTTCTCCTGGGAACATGCAGTTTTGTCTGAATAATATGCTAATGGCTTGTAGTGAATTGCGGTGTTTTCAAACTATACTGCTGTCAAAATTTTTAAGTAGAATACCCTGAAGGAGAGATGATGATGCATTTAAACAATTGGACTGTGTATCCTACATACACTCTTTGAATTTTTCATAAATGTATTTTGTCAAGGTCTTATTTAATTCCCTTGAGAGCTTGTTTAGAGAACAGAGAAGGTGAGAGAGTGGAGACAGACTTAATGAATCTTTAAGAGCAAATTTTCAGCTGCTGTCACCAAAACCTAAAGTCATGGAGCAGCTTGTTTCCCGGCAGCCAGGAATGTCACGAAGCAGCCTCGGCCTGCATCCCACTTCCTCGAAGCAAGCTGAGATGGTGAGAGCGCGGTCGCGCAGGCAGGCCAGGAAGCGCCCTGTGTTGCAATTCCTCCCGTAGCTGTCGGTAACTCAAGCACGCACAAGGAGGGCCCAGCGGGCTTGGTGCCTCCTCTATAAAGCAGCATGCTCTGGCCACACATCTTTCAGCCGGCGCATCGCTGCGGAGAGGTGCAGGTGTGCCAGCAACACGAGAGGAGGTAGGGCGCTGCCTCACTACAAAATGAAAGCAGACCAGTTGCCAGTGGCAGGTGTCAGTGACTGTAAAATGTTCTCTCTAAGCTCATTTAGCACTTTCCTTTTCCTTTGTGGAGTAAACCAAAGCTTTTGTGTACCAGGAACGTGGGTGAGGGGTGGGGGCGGTGGCGTTAGGGTACTGAAATTGGGGAGTGTTACAGTAACATACAGTGGCCATCATTAATTTCTGTGCAAATAACCTTCTGCTGTGATGTCTGTCTTCATATATGAAGGAAACAGAAATATATTATTTAAGTAACATACACGTGACATTTTGAAATTATGCAGTGATACTTTTTAAAATTACTTTTTTTGAGCAGAACTAATTTGCCTTCAGTTTTGCCGCTAGTGATTTTCGGAGCATCTTGTGTGTCGCCCTGTGTGAGCAGTGAGTCTTGCACACAGCTAGTGGGGAAGAAGCAAACACTTTCAAAATAGGAAAATTTGACTGAATGCTGGCAGGAGCTCAAAAGCAATTACATACTCTGAAGAGGTACTCTTAGTTCAGTTTTACAAGAAAGTAAATGTCAGGGCAGTTGAATCCTCTTCAAATGAAATGGTTTGACTAGGGAAAGCATAGGTAATGGGGCTTTCTATAGCTTGTGCTTCTTGCTTGTTGAAAGTGATTTGTAAGAAAAAATTTAAATTTTTGATGTATTTTTGCTGTGAATCCTTCATTGCTTTTGAAAATTGTTAAGGTCCATGTCTCTTGAGATTCACACCTGAAGTCTTTGCTTCCTTATTGTCACAAGCGGTTCTGTGTTACTGTTCCACATAGGATTGCTTAAACAGTCAAATTGGCTAGTGAAGGGCTTTTTTTAATCTTGACTACCTCTAGAGAGCATGGGTACAGTTTCAAGAGAATCTGAATTGATCATTTAAGGATTCAGGATTCTGTCGGTGTTGGTGAAGGTCAGAGACAGGAAATGTCTCACTTAAAGCAGGTTAGTAGCAGTTAAACCAAAGTTAAATTCGTTTCGTTATTTTTTAGACAATTGGAGGGGAAAAATAGTCGGTGTCAGTGGAAAATGGCAATGGTGGTAAGACTGCTAGCCCCTGTGGAGCAGCAAGCAGGTTATTTATGTGAGTGGCTGTTTTACACAGAGCCGACTGGGAGGGAATGGCAAGGTTCATCATCCTCATGGTTGTCCAAAGACATGTCCAAGCACCTTTATCTTGCTGAGGAATGGTTTGTTCTCTGTGGGTTATAAATGTTACATTTTATTTTTACTGTTCCAGAAACGTCGTTTGACTCACTGAAGATTTAAAAACCAACAGCACCACAGAGCCATGTGGGACAAAAGGGGATTTTAGTCTCAAGTGGCAGAATCAAGTCATAAGAAGTAAAGAGATTTGGATGGTTTCTCTCTAAATGGAAGTTATGTAGAAAGCCTCTGAGACCACTGCATCTCTCCATCGCACTTCTGCTGCACAGAGACGGCGCTCTGGGCCCTGGACATTAATAAAATGCTGGATTCAGTCAAGTGTGTCTTGGTGGGAGACTCTGCGGTTGGGAAGACATCTCTTTTGGTACGTTTCACCTCTGAGACTTTTCCAGATGACTACAGACCCACTGTATATGAAAATACCGGAGTGGATGTCTTCATGGATGGTATGCAGATTAGCTTAGGTCTGTGGGACACATCTGGCAGTGATGCCTTCAGAGGCATTCGCCCCCTTTCATACCAACAGGCAGATGTGGTATTAATGTGCTACTCGGTGGCAAACCACAACTCCTTTCTGAACCTGAGGAACAAATGGATCGGTGAGATCCGCAGCCATTTGCCCCGCATCCCCGTTTTGGTGGTGGCCACTCAGACTGACCAGCGTGAAACGGGTCCCTACCGTTCCTCCTGCATCAGCTCGATCGATGGGAAGCGGCTTGCCCAGGATGTGCGAGCCAAAGGCTATTTGGAGTGCTCTGCCCTCAGCAACCGAGGGGTGCAGCAGGTGTTTGAGTATGCCGTGAGGACAGCAGTCAATCAAGACAAAAGGCGGAACAGACGGAAGCTCTTCTCCATTAACGAGTGCAAAATCTTTTGAGGACTCTCAGCAGTGGTTTTGCTCACGTTCGGTCTTTCTGTTTTCACACAAAGATACTGCAGCAGAGAGAATAGGAGGTGAATCAAAGGAGGCCTCCTGGCAGGACCACAGTGCAGGTGCCTCATGAGACAGATGTGCTCTCTATCTGATTCTCTCCCCCAAACACACATGAGCACTATCTTGAAAAACAAAAGGTGCAGGTACGTGCCCTTATTCACAAGCCTGTGTTTGGACTTTGCTAGCATGGACTGGAGCAGGCCTAGCCTGGAAATCTGCAGATAACAGCTGTGCTGATTTTGCTGTTGTTTCTGTTCATGTTCCTCAGTTGTTGGTTTGTCTTCATCTGCATTTATTTAATGACAAACTTCTGCCTGGATCAACCCCTACCTTGTCCGTGTGGATTTTTTTCCTTAAGAATTTGGCATATAAAATCTGACCATTGTGTATTCTATTTGAAGGACTCTTGTATACATTGTTGTGAAATCCTGAAAGTTTGTTTTAGTATTTTGGAGGTTTTCCCTTTAGCTAACCACAGAAGCAGATTGTCCTATCCGTATAAAAAGTGGCCTGCAGAGAAGCCTAGCGCTTCTTAGGCATGCCCGAGTCATTGCATAACAGTCATCAAATCCAGTACATCCAGCACAGGAACAATCAAAACTTAGTGGCATTTGACAGCCCTCTGGCAGCTTTGTGAGATTTATGTTGTAACATTAATCTTGTTCCTCAGCAATGTGGTCAAACATGGGAAACTAATCTGATTCTTCCTAGACTTCACCAGGTTACAACCCCAGAAGGGCTTTCAGTCAAGGCTGTTTTAGATGTGTTTTGTGTGGCAGAGATGAATCTGTGCTACCTACCATCACTTCTGTTGTCCCTGCTGTAATTCTGGACACAAAAGATTTCAATCTCTGGGGATGAAAGCTATTTTTCCATGAGCACTAAAATTTTCACATATTTTTAGTACACTTTTTTTTCAAAACAGTGGATTTAGTGAAATCAGTCATCTACAGTAGTAAAAAAATAAGTACATGGCAATGTTGAATTTGTGTATTTAGAATGGTTAAACAATATTCTTCTTTTTGAGTTTGCATACTAAGTTTAACTGCCTGGGCTGTATCAAAGTAAGATTGAAACAGGCTTTGTATGCTGGGGAGCTTGTCAAGTCTAAGAGTCAAATCCTGACGTACCTACTCAGGCCAAGTTACCCTCCTGCACAGAAAGTCAGGCTAAGCAGGTGGAAACAGCTTACAGGTATATAAGAGAACTCTGCTAGAAGATGGAGTGGGCTGAACACACACTCCTGTACAGTACTCTCCTCCTCAGATTATCTGTCCCCTCTGCCCTGCACCATCTCTCAGGTCTTGCAGATCTGTCTCATCCCAAGGTTTCTGCTACCTGTAGAGGAAATCCTTGGGGGGATTTCTTAGTACAGCAAGATTTTCTTTGTCCCTTTCCATGTCCTTCAACTAGTTCACTGACCTTTGAGGGGCTTATAGAACTGACCTTTGAGGGCCCTATAGCATGGTGCCATAAAAGATGGTGCATAGCACAGTAGGATTATCTTACCTGTGATGTAGGTGAGAAAGTATTTTCATTGCTGGCACCTCAAATACCGGTGGTGCACAGGACACCTGATGTCATTGTCCCACCAGCTCCTAGACTGTTGAATATTTACCACTCATCAACCTGATTATAAGGGAGGCTTCTGGTCATAAAAATATACTGGTCTCATGTGAGGTTTTTATATCAACTTTAAATCTTTACAAGCACCTGTGCACACAAGACAACGACTCCCACCGCCACCCATCTTTCCTGAACTCTCCTCTTTCCTGCTTCTCTTTCTCTTCAGGTGTTGATTGCAAATCCTTTGCCCCTGAAACACTAAAACTGACATATTTGTAAAAGAATTTGAATGCTGTAGAACTTATGTGGAGTTACGCAAGTTGCTGAGTATTTGCTATCCTTGGTTAAAAACCTGTTGGCTGTGGGGGAAATATGTTTCTATATCTCAACTTCTGCAGTGCCTCTTCACTGAAAGTCCTGGGTTTTACAACCTTAATTTGAAAGTATCCATTGTTACTGTTCGAACATTAAAGATTGCATGCAAAATGTCATGTTGTGACTCTTCAAGCCTGTTGCTACTGGGGACATTTTTGTTATATTCCCCACTCTGCTAACGGATTTAATACCTGGTTACAACTTTGTTTGAGACATATTTTTGTGGCATGATTTTTTTTTTTTTTTTTTTTTAATCTCGGGGGTTAAGGTTTGTTTACAACATATTTTTATGTGCTGAAGAGCAGTTCATGTTTTTACGCGCTGAAGAGCAGTAACCGCTAGGTCAGAATGCTGCTTTGTGGTATCTGCCACGGGGTGCCAGATTCAGGGACCAGAAGGCTCCAGAGACTTGCTGTCTCAGACAAAGCCAGATAAAGGTGCGCTCCAAAATCACACTGTAACAAGCTTCACAAAACTTGTTACGGTGTGTTAACGAAATTTAGAATTCAATGTTTGTTGCAGTTCAGTGAAGCAAAGTGGAGAGCTTCACTGAGTCACTTCAACTGATGATACAGGATGCACAGGGAATTTAGGGTGGCTTGATACACTCTTAATTGTACATCCTAGAGGCTGTAAGACCACTGAAAGCCAGTTGATTTTTAAAATCAAATTGGAAAGAGTATAAAGTAACAGGGGGACTTTGGTTAGGTGTTCTGTGAAAAAAACCGTTCAAATTTTCATAGCCTGGTTATTTTCAAACTCTCAAAGCTAAAACACACTTTTCACTGGGAACCAACTGTAAAGCACACATATTTTAGTGCCTGTAATTATGCAGCTGTACAACTGATGGGCTAGAAAGGTGTGACAACCCCAGTACAGAGGCTGAAATCTGGATGCACCAGAATTCAGATGAAAATCTGGCCAAATGGCTTATTGAGGTGCGGGGCTGGCACAATTGCATCCACGTTGCCTGTCGTGGAACAATGTTGCCTGTCGTGTGCACAATTGCATCCGTGTTGCTGAGGTCTCCTGTGAAACCCTACCAGGGTAGGGGTAGTTTTGCTTATGTTTACTTGGGCAGCAGTGTCCTTGGGTATCGCTTAGGGGTTAAAATCCAGCTCTGGAATTCAAAATACATTCAAATGACATGTGACGTTTCAACTTCTTTTGCTCTGAAAAACAGCAAAACAGAAACAGTGTGCAGCCTTGCCTTAGTCTGGTCAAGCTTTCAGCTGAGGGAAGAGACCTTGTCCAAATATTCTCCTTCTTTTTTCTCTAACCAATTGCTTTCAGTTTGTTACTCTGTTGCTAATCTTATTTTTACTTGCTATTAGCATAGGTTAAAAGTTAAAAAAAATGTAAAGGAGAGAATACTTGGAACTTAAAATGAGAGAAGCAAGTCATCACTATCTGACTTCTCATTTTGACAGAAAAAGTAATTTTGGATCACTTTAATGAATTCTGCAAGTCAGATAAAAAAAGTTGAATATATATGTTGTTATGATTAAAATTAGATAATATTTTTACAGCAGAAAAGAACAGGATTTTCCTTCAGTAATTTGCAAAATGAGAGGAGTACAAATTGCATTATTTTAAACACAGATTTCCCAGACTTTTTAAACTTACTGATATGCATCAGATAATATAAATATTTTGTAAGATTAAATAATATGTTTCAGATCTTCCATCTTGCCCTCCAATTTTTCATATGGAAAACTATTCAAGCTTGTTAAATATAACTGGTACTGTTTTGCCTGACATTTGCAATCAACAGTTTGCAAATATTTGTGTAATTTTTGTGGGTACTCTGCGATTCCTGAAGTGTATGAGAAGTGTATGAACACATACCACGTGATGCTTATGTTGATAAAGAAAATGTGTCTAAAGGACACTATATATGGCACTATTATAAAAGAAGTCACCACAGGGATCAGACATGAAGGAAGAAGAAATGTCAGCACTCTGACATCTCAGCCTTTCCTGTATTACTATGGCATTCGACTGAATGCAGCCATTAAAATAATTTCTAATAAATGGAGCAGTTCATGTCTTTTTAACACTTTCTCCTAATGGCTCAGGTTAATGTACAAAGAATATAAAGCTTCATTTCAGAACATCAAAACACTTGTCTGCTCTGCCTTTGTTAGCAAGTTAACTATCTTGACTTAATGAAAAGTCAGTTCAGCCTCTGAAACAAGCCAGAGATGAGCACAATCAGGTTAGCCAAACTTCCTTGCTCTGAAACGACAGTAATGAATTTTGGTCTCTGGATGTGAGAATACATATTTTATGTCTCAGACATTTCCTTCACTGTCATCAGTGCAAGAGTTCATTGTGTGTACCTGTCCTAGCTGACCTGTGTGCCCTTCATCTTGTGCTCTGAGCAGCCAGCTATTGAAAACAAAATTCAGGTCAAAACAACCTTTTTTACATATCTAGATGTTTATATTGTAGAAGTGCTTCATTACTGCTGTGAGGACCTTTCCCCTGTCCTGGACTTCTTGCTCCATCGTTGTGCAATAACACAGCTGCTGTGTGTCAGCAGGTCCTTGTTACCCAGAAGGCAGAAGAGCATCACTACCAGGCAATGCTACATCTTCAGCAGGGTAGAAGAGATGCTCCTCAGGGCTCCTCTTACCTGCATCATAGGCAACTGCCCTACTCTGCAAACAAGCTGGTCCTGCCACAGTCAGACTTCTGTCACTTGCAGGTGCCTTCGCAGTAACAGATTTATTTTGTGTGCCATTTCTAAAATCAGTGTCAATCTCCAAGACATTACCCAGGCTCTGTTGTGCTGGTAGCATGTTGCAGGACTCCAGCTGCTGCATTTTGGGGTCTTAAAGCTAAATCCAAGCTAAATCCTGTGCACATCCCTTCCTGAGCGTGGGGAGCTGGCCTCCAGCCTTACATGAGCTGTGAATCAGTTAGTAGCTAACAAAATAATAGTTATTGCTGTCTTTCTGGTTATGAAGAAGTGAATGAGTGACATGTCTGTCTCAGGTCTTTCACAACCACATTACACAAGGCTGGCAGGGGGGTTTCTGTCATCCCTTCTCTCACCTTGGGTATGATTCATGCAGGGGTGGAGCAGCAGGGCATAGGCCTGGTGATGGTTGTTTCTGTCTCTGGAAAAGAGGAAGGAAATGATGATTGATGTCTTCACTCAGTGTGAAGTGCTCGCTCGCCTGCGTTGGTAGCGTTTCTAAGAAGTCTCCAGCAGGTACTGGCTCCCACGGGCAGCCCAGCAGCTCCCAGCTCTGCCTCGGAGGATGCAAGTTCCTGGGGCAGCTCTCATGCCAAGACCTGGGAGTCTCCTCTCAGTTCCTGGGTTGCCTTCCCAAAGTGCTCCATCGCTGTTCAGATACCACAAAAGGGTGAGATTTTCAAGTGCTGGCTTTGCTTTGAAAACCAAGATCCCTTGCAAATGTCAGCTGCCCAGGATGAGGCTGTATCTGCTAGCCACAGGCAGGGTTGTGGTGGCCAAAGATGCACAACCGGTCTCAGGGGGTGATGGGAGAGACCCAAAGCTGATACTGCTCAACTTCGTATATGAATTAAATATGTAGAAGTAAATGGAGGGAGACTTAAGTGTCTTACATGCCAAACCACTTGCAACACATAATTTTCTCTTTATTTTTTCTCTCTATGAATTTTCTCTTTCTCAGAAAATTCCGGGGTTTTTAATATGTAAAATGCTAAGTGGTTTTCTGGCTATTACCTTAACTCTTGCATTTATCTATCACTGTGAAGCAGGATTCCCTAAGAGACTGATTTAGAACTTTTAATGAATCTTGGGCATTAAAATATATACATATATTTTAAATTATTATCTAGTATGTAGGATTTGTGCTGGTATCTGATCCGTCACAGAATTATTGACCAACTAAACCAGAGCTGCATCCTTGGCTTGTGATTAGAGCAGTGGCTTCGACAGTGAATGTTTGCTGTTCAGTTCCTCCTGCATTGTGCAGAGCTTGGCAAGGCTAGATCAGGTTAATGGGACGCTTTCAAGATTCACCAGACTCTGGACCAGGCCTGGGTAAGCCTGCACAAATAAGTTTTAGATACACAACTCCAAACAGACTGGTGGTCTGACTGACCTATTCATGATCAGCTTGATCCAAATCAATTCACTTTGCCTGAGCCTGCTCCCGTGGCTGACTGGTGGATGGCAGGCAGATGAACTGCAGGCATGAAATGCTACTGCACAGACACCCTGGCTGTCCCTGGCCGCATTTCCACAGCTGGGTGACACTGAGCCCTGGCTCTGCTGGCCCCCCACGGGATATGGGCAGATGGCAGTGACCCTTTTTTAAAGTACTTTCAGATCAGTCATAGAAGATCTTTGTGCTGGTGGGTACTTTGGCATTTGTCAGGTCTGCTAAATGTTCCTGCTGACAGGTTTGGCCTGAGGAGTTTGCTCTGAATGGATTTGTAACACACTTTATGGGATTAGGGCTTTCCAGCATTTCAATTCACTGAAGTCACAGGGTGTAGGTGAGCATAAGGGACAGAAAGAGAAGGGAGAATATATAACGATGCATTAACGACTTGACTATTTTAGCAGCTTGTAATCAATATAATGATCTTTTTAACTGCACAAAACATGGTATGGGGGCTGAGCTAGCACCTGTTTCATCAGTGATTTAGAAATCTAATTCTTCCTGAGGGAGTTATGCTGAATGCTGGGAGGCTAAAATAGAGGGTAGGTCTCTCCATAGTTATCCCTGTTTCTCTTTCTGGAGCCTGCTCTTGCATTCCCAGTAGTTACTGCACTCCGGCATGAACCAATCTCAATGTATGCAACAGGGACATTCTTACCGTAAAGATTTAGTCCCCAGTCAAGAGGTTTCACTGAAATGTCATCACCTTGAAAATATTACTGTTTCCTCTACGGTAAACAAAAGAGGCTGAACACAATCTCAGCAAGAATTTAGCCTTAGTGTGACCTGGGAGAGTAGCTGTGAGGTGAGTAACTATGGGGGTTTTACCCTTAGAATTTTACCCTTCCATGATAAAATACTGGAGAGAAAT